GGGGGGTGGGGGTGGGAGTGGGCGGCCAGACACAAAGACAGTTGTAATCTCTGGAACCTGTAAATGTTCTTATAGGGCAACTATTTTTGCAAAAGGGATTAAGATAAGGAGTTTGAGATGGAGGATTACGCTGGATTATCTAGATTATCCCTAAATGCAGCCACAAATATCCGTGAGGGAGGCAGAGGGACATTTTACTACATAAGACTGGAGAGGTGCAGGTGAGGGCTATCCTAATGCTCACTTTCACTAAGAGAATGCATCCCTCCAGGACTTTTCAGTCCTTTCTACATAACCATTCTAATAGGTATGAAATGATGCCTCACTGTGGTTTCAACTTGAAATTAGATGTTGATCAGTCATGTTGATTTTTTCATACACTGTTGGTCACTTATTTCTTCTCTCTGTCTCTCTTTTTTTAAAGACAAGGTCTCTGAATGTAGCCCAGGCTGGCTTCAGACTCAACAGTCCTTCTGCCTCAGGCTCCAAAGTGCTGGGGTTACAGTTATGCACCTTATCTGTCTTCTTTTGAGACATATCTATTCAGCTCCTTTATCCATTCCTTCAGCTTTTAATAATATTTTCCTCATTTCTTGCTGAGCCCTCACCAGAAACATCTGTCATATCCATATGTCTATCAATAGTCAGGCAAACTATACATTTTTCTATCATGTACCTCAATTTTTTTTCTAGTCTGTGACCATTTTTCAGTTCCAAAGACTTTACTTATGTATTTGTTATGGTTGCACCTCACTTTCTGCTAAAGTCCATGTTACTTTCTTGTAACAAATTACCACAGACTTAGTGATGGGGTAAAGACCTTCTCAGAACAAAGAGAAGCTAAGTAGCATAATCAGTATTGATGTGCACATGATCGATTCTGTAATGACCCTGTAACACAGGCCACACCACCAGAACGTATAATGTTACTGCTTAAGGGAGACAAAGGTGCTGAAATGTACAGGGGAAACTAATGGAGGTTATGAAAGGCTTCAGCCTATGCATGTGAATCCACCAAGCCAGTGCAGGGCATAACCAATGGATTTCCTGCAGAAAGCTTTGGTGTCCTGTCTCTCTTTCTAAGAATCCCACACCAGGGAAAGCAAGTATGAGGGTATAGCCCAGTGGGTAGAGTACTTGCCTATTTTGCATGTAGCCCTGGTTTAATACCCAGCACCGTACAGACTGGGTGTGGTGCTGCATCCTTTAGTTCCAGCACTCAGAAGGAAGAGGCAAGGAGCAGTTCAAAGTCATCCTTGGCTACATAGTGAGTTTGAAGCCAGCCTGGGTTACATGGAGACATCCTGTCTTACAGCCGGATCCCCTGGCCCACCAGTCTAGCCCCAGTTTAGTAGCTTCAGGTCAATGAGAGACCCTTTCTCAAAGGAGGTGGATGATGGTCCTGAGGATGACATCCAAGCCTGTCTTCTGGACTCCACATGCTCATACATATTCATATACACACACATACACATATGTATACACACACATCAAAAAAGACAGTGAGGTTGAGACTCTAAAGCCAAATACAAACAATAAAACCCCAGAGATTCAAATATAAATAAAAAATTTCCAGTGTCTTAGTTGCCCCTAACTCGATCACTACAGCAACAGAAGCAGACTCGGCTTTTATCCAGGGCTGTGCAAGGTCAGGATGGCCAGCCCCTCCACTTCCTGTGCCTTGTTCTTCCCATGCATAAATTGCAGAAGCTGGAATATATGTATGCTGAGATTCTAGACTTTGAGTCAATACTGTCAGGTCCTGGTTTCCTCAAGATGAGAAAACCTGGTCACATAGGTGACCAAAAGAGCTGAATTTCTCAAAATCAGAGAAAACATTAAGACTTTGAAGACAAATGTGGTAGTGCATGCCTGCATGCCCAGGTATTAGAAGGTGAGGCATAAGGATTTCCAAGAGTTCAAGGTCAGCCTGGTGTGGAGAATGAGACCCATCAAGAAGAAAAGGGGTATAGGAGGGAAGAAAAAAATTGAAAATAAGTAAATATGATCATCTTTTAGTTTCAAATCTTTAGCTCTAGGAAAATATCTGGAATTTAGCCTGTCATATTAATATAAGTGTTCTCCTTCCTTCCAAGAGAAAAGTAGACCTAAGTTACCGCAACCTTGGAACTATGCTTTGTTGGGGGACATCTGGTCCTGTGACCAAATGAGGCAATAGCTCTTGTGAGCACTATGGACATCGTTACTGGAGTCGTTATGGTTAAAACCTGGGCCTTGGCAGTCCCGATAAGACAGACTCAGCCACCGCCCCCCAGCAGGCCAATTGAAGAGACAACAATGAAAAGCAGAGAGGGAGGGATTCATTTACTCATTGTGGCCACATGGGGAGAGGGACAAGTAAAGCGGTCTAACGACCCCAGGGCCGTCTTTGGAATACTGAACTGGGGGTTAGGTTTACATAGAGGGCAGGGGAGGTTCTTCCTAAGAATTCCGATTAATGTGCAGTCCCTCCCATCACTCACTCATCATTGTCTCAACTCTGGTCTGTTGAGCAAGCTGTCAGCACTGTGTGAAATCTCTACCTGAGAGTCAAGTTTCCTCTGGTTGATAGCTGGGCCTCAGGCTTTCCCTTTACCTGGCATAGGATTCCGGGGGGTGGGGGTGGGATTTAATTCTTTCGTGTCCTTTGGTTACATCTTTAGAGCATCTCCATCCAGGCCAGTCAGTGTTTCAGTTGCTATGGTTATATGGGGACATGGTGGGTCCTCCGACGAACATTGTGGTGAGAACAATGGACATGAACAGTACCCAGGAAGGCACATGTTCATCTTTACATAGTCTCTCTCTTCTGTCACCAACTACTAGAACTATTTTCTGAAGCAGATGAAGGTAGGATTTCTGGTAATAACGACAGTCTCAGGAGGACTTTAAGTTAGGGCCAGTGGACATCATGAAAACTCAGGATTAGAGCCACAGTCAGCCTGAATCTGAGTTTTCCTCAAGCATTAGGCAGTACAAGGCAGAACGTGCACAAAAATGTAAATAAAAGAAAACTACAGCAAATGTATCACTGTTGAGCCAGATGGTGGCTCATACCTGTAACTCCAGCACTTGGAACAATGAAACTTTCCATGAGTTCTGAGACCAGCCTGGGCTACACAGTAAGTTGCAGCCTGTCCAAGGTTACAGAGTAGGATCCTGAAACAAATTTAAAAATTAAATAAATAAATAAATATCAGTCTTCACATTACTAATATGTGCAGTTAGTGCATCTGAAGAACAAAAACAAACAGAAAAACGTAAATGTGACCTCTTATAAGTTTATTAGTAGCTCACAAGTAAAGTGGGAAAATACACTCACTCTAAGGTTCAGCTACTCTTAAAACTAAAACTGGGAGAGGGCTGAAGATTTTGGAGCCGTGCACTAGAGGAGCACCTTCTGCATGCTGCCTCGAGGCCCCGGAGAGGGGTGTGGCTGCACTGGGTGTCTGGATCAGGTCCCGGACTGCAGAGGAACACAGAAGTCCCAGATAACCTAAAGGGTGCCTTCTAAGAGTTCACAAGAATTGGAACTCCATCCAGATCCCACTTCTCAGAGGCACAGAAGGCCCTTTGTGTGAGCTTGGAAGGGGCAGAGCAGGTGGCGGGGCTGGCTGACAGAGGATTAGAATGGAGAGGAAGGCTTTCTCATGACCCCAAGCTGGCAGTCAAAACCGGGTGGGTGGGAGAGAAGGCGAGAGGAAGCAGCGGGGAAATACAATTCTCACCCACTTCAAAGATTTTGGCACAACATGCTGGTTGTTATCCTGTTAAAACTTCACAACAACACATTTTTTTTTTTTTTTTTTTTTTTTGGTTTTTCGAGACAGGCTTTCTCTGTGTAGCTTTGCGCCTTTCCTGGAACTCACTTGGTAGCCCAGGCTGGCCTCGAACTCACAGAGATCCGCCTGGCTCTGCCTCCCGAGTGCTGGGATTAAAGGCGTGCGCCACCACTGCCCGGCCTAACAACACATTTTTAGACTAGGCAGGGCAAAGATGAATACAAGTATCTGCAGAGGAGGAGACTGAAGCCCGTCACGCCATTCCTGACTCACGGCCTAAAGCTTTCTCTCTGATAACTTTCCACTGTGGATGTGTGTCCCTCAGTTTGTCCATCCTCTGTTAAGGAACTCTTTCCCAGGTGCCAAGGTGAGGGGCAAAGCAGAAATGCTTAGGACCAATAGCCTGGCTTCATATTTTAAAATCTTAACAATTTTTGTTTGTTTGTTAAGTGGTGAAGTTTGAAGAGACAGAACAAATGACAGTCATCTTGGGGCAGAATGAAAAAGGTGGGAAAATTAAGGGTTCATGAGAAGAGAAAGAAACCACTTTACCTTGGGGTCCAGTTTGCCCTTTCTGCTCCCTGAAAGTCAAGAAATCTCATCACAACAAATCAATCCCAAACTGCCTGCAGAAATAATTTGTGTTTTCCTAAAAACATCTCAGACAAGGATGTTAAAAGCAATGAATGAATTCTGCTCACTTAAGGCCACAATGTTTGTAACTCTGAGCTTTATTGTGTCAGTACTCGGCATTCATCCCTAAATATAAACAGTCAGTCTCATAAAAACAACCTTTAACTTCATTTTTACAAAAGGGGGTGGGGCTCTTTAAGAAAAATATGAGGCTGGAAAGATGGCTCGGCAGTCACAAGTGCTGGCTGCTCTTGTAGAGGTTTGATTCCTAGCACCCACATGGTAGCCCACAGCTGCCTGTAACCCCAGTCCTGGGGGATCCAACGCCCTCTTCCGGCCTCTGCAGGCACTAGGCATGCATGTAGCGCACTTACATACATTAAGACAAAACACTCATACCCATAAAATACAGAAATGAAGGAAAGGAGGAAGGGAGGGAGGGACTAGAGAAGGAGGGAAGGAAGGAAGGAAGGAAGGAGGGAGGGAGGGAGGGAGGGAGGGAGGGAGGGAGGGAGGGAGAAAGGAAAGAAAGCAGGTGGTGTGCTGGTTAATTTTAGGTCAACTTGACACAAGCTAGAGTCATCAGAGAGAAGAGAGCCACAGCTGAGAAACTGCCGCCATAAGCTCGGGCTGTAGGCAGGCCTGTAGTGCATTTTCTTAATTAATGATTGACGGGGGAGGGGCCAGCCCTGGGCTGGGGTCCTGGGTTCCATCTATAAGCAAGCCATGAGGAGCAAGCCAGTAAGCAGCCCTCCTCCACGGCCTCTGTATCAGCTCCTGCTTCCAGGTTCCTGCCCTGCTTGAGTTCCTGTCCTGACTTCCTTTGATGATGGACTGTGCTGTGGGAGAGTAAGCCAAATAAACCCTTTCTTCTCCAAGCTGTTTTGGTTATATCAATAGAAACCCTCACTAAGACAATAGGCCTGGGGATGTGTAATAGCTCAGCTCGTAGACACTTGCTTAGTTAGTATGCAAGAAGTCCTGGGTTTAATCCCCAACATCAGAGAACATCAAGTATGATGGCAAACATCTATATAAACCCAGAGGTAGAGTCAGGAAGGTCAGATGTTCAAGGTCGTCATCTGCTGCAAATCAATTACCAGCCAGCCTGGGATACATGAAACCTTGCCTTTAAAAAACAAAACAAAACAAAAACCAGTAGTGCATGCCTTTAATCCCAGCACTTGGGAGGTAGAGGCAGGCAGAGCTCTGTGAGTTCGAGGCCAGCCTGATCTACAAAGTGAGTTCCAGGACAGCCAGGACTACACAGAGAAACCCAGTCTTGAAAAACCAAACCAAACCAAACCAACCAACCAACCAATCAACAACAACAAAAAACCAACCAAACAAACTAGGGATGGCAGGAAAACTCCAGTTGTAAAGGTGTCAGCCTCACAAGCCTGACCCGCATTTACTCTCTGGAGCCCATGTAAGGTAGGAGAGAGCCAGCGCACATAGCTGTTCTGTGACCTCCCGGTGCACGCTCACATGCCATACACAAATACTAAATTAAAATGTAAGTCTTTACCAACTAAACTAGTGTGTGTGTGTGTGTGTGTGTGTGTTTACTTTTAGACCTTGCTCACATTCCGAGCTTCACTTAATCTTGCTGTAAGTTGCAAGCTTTGAGGACTGGCTTAGCAAACCACAGAAGCACGTACAGCTATGTTTTGGGGTTGTACACTGCCCTTCCCTCCAGGACTCTTTGTCTAAATACCCACTGTACTAACTGCTTTGTTCTCTCTGGTCCTGGAGTTCTTTTCTGGGGCATAGTCAAGGATCTGGCTTTACCTGAGCAGGAGCAAAGGTCCCTAAGCCGGAAGAGAACTCCTCAGGGAACGAGTGCCTGTGTCTCCAGGCCGCATCACTGTTGAGAATCTGAGCCAATGCTTTTCAAACTCGAGTCTGCATGCAAACCTCGTGAATATGTTGTGGAAAAGTAGGTTGCGATTCAGTGGCATGAGTTCCTCCAGTCACTTGGAGAGGGGAGGTGCAGCATCTCAGGTTCCAGACCTTCATCTCACCTTCACCTGTCAGAGCATGTGCCTACGCACGTGTCTCCTGCATCAGAAGAGCAAGGGTGAGCAGAAGAGAGAAAAGGAGAGAAGTGGAGACTGAAAGCAGCGCTGTGATTGGCTGTGCTTCTCCAAACTGGTGCCTGCTGGGGATACTCAAAAGGGATCACAGTTCCTGAGGTTCGAGACTCACCCAGTGTTCCTTGTACAGCCATGGCCAAGCAGTTCTGGACCTCCTGTCTTTTCCCACTGTTTCTAGCTGCCTTGTCTCAGGGAACTATGGATCCTCAAAAAACAAAGGTAAGCAACCCCCGACCCGCTGCCCCCCGCCCGGGGATCTAAGCTGATTTCAACATCTGATAAATAACGTGGCTACCAAGCGATTCAGGGGCCTATCCTGTTCTTGAAGGGAGAGGGCTGCTTGGCAGCCTTTCTTTGCAGACTTCTGCCCCCGATGCCCTCTGCCACAGCACCTTTCCTGTCTCTCTTCAGTCTGCTTTACCGTGTTTTCCACGCATCTTCTCTGCTTCTCTGCACCCAGTGGACCTTTGAGCAGAATATAGCCAGCCACCTCCTACCCCTACCCCCCCACCCCCACCCCCAGCTGCCTCTGCCATTCCTCCTTGATCTCTGCTTGACAACTCAGAATCTGCCCTGTCCCATGCTGATCTGTAACCTGGAGCAGCCCATGGGTTCTGGGAAATGAGTGGTTAAGTAGCAAGTGAATTGGGAGGCTGGTTGTTCTCAGACCAATTGGACCAAACTGAGAGAAAGAGAGAGAGAGAGAGAGAGAGAGAGAGAGAGAGAGAGAGAGAGAGAGAGAGAGAGAGAGAGAGAGAGAGAGAGAGAGAGAGAGAGAGACCCAGTTAGGGGAAGGGGGGCTTTTGTTTAGTGACTATTAAGACACAGAGGCTGATTTTTTGGGGGGGAAGGCATGAAGACAGGGTTCTGCACAGTACAATGACTTCTCCTCAGATCTTGGTGCTGCTCCAAGGAGCTGCACAATCATCACACCGTAGGGCAGTAGCCAAAAATCCTCACAAGGAACCAGGAGCAGGGACTGGTATCCAAAAATGTCCACATGGGGAGTCAGTAGCCACCCCTGTTAAAAGAAAATGCATGCATACATCTTAGAAGGCAGAATAGGGCTAATGCAGATGACTTGAGGGACCAATATATTTTAACTTTAAAATCAGCGAAACTCATTGAAAACCCCAACCTCACTTGTGGCTTTAAGCTACTTATATATCTTTTGTCAATTCTGGCTCCCTTCTGTTAAAAGGTAAGGAACAATCTTATCATAGAGCACAGTAATTCTCAGACCTTAGCTAAACTGAGAACCCACTGGTGATTGGGTCCCATTCCTAGAGATTTTGATCCAGTATGTCTTCTTGGGAGCCCAAACATGCCTAAAATGCTCCCATGATGCAAGTCCTTAAGTCTGACCTTTGAGCTTTGACCTCTGCTATTGGGCATGTGAAGGGTAAGAATGCATGTAAAATTCTGATTGGCAGCTGTAAAGTCACAGGTTACCTACTATCAAGTGAGGTCACAGCCCACTGGAGAGGGCACCCTCTAGGGGCACCCAGGTCTGTGTTCACCACCAATGCCTTCCTGAGTGTGGAGTTCCTCAAACAGAAATCCTTCAGTTCTTCCAATTTTAAGATATTGCATGAAAAATCTTTAAGTGCTTTGAAAATGCTGACAGATGTTGAGGATTCTTGTTTATTAGGTCAGACCACTGGAGTCACTTGTGTTGTGTTACAGGTGGATTGTGACAAAGGGGTGGCTGGCACCATCTATGAGTATGGAGCCAAGACCCTGAACGGTGGGGAGTATGTCCCGTTCCAGCAGTATGCAGGGAAGCACATCCTCTTTGTCAACGTGGCATCCTTCTGTGGCCTGACAGCTACTTATCCCGGTAAGAACTCAAATTTCAGCTCTCTCTCACAACTAGCTTGCCCCCTGACCATATTCTGATGGGAGAAGGTGTTTCTGTGTTGCTGGGATTGGGGAATGAATAAGCACACTGACTCTACTCCTCTAAACCTTCCTATTCCGCTGCTTTTCCTGCCAGAATTATCTCCATCCTTGAGCACTAAGGTTTTCCCCGAGATGTGTTGGACAACCACTAAGAAACACATCCGTGGTTGAACGAGTTGGAGTTGCTGCCCATCTGCCACAGGGAATAAGGAGGCTTCTCAGAAAGGGATAAAAAAGACTCAGGTCACCTGAGCTAGCATCAGGTAGTGTGGGAAAGGATTCAAGGAACTGAACCTTTGCTCTGGATTAAAAGCAGTCAGGAAATAAAGAAGGGGACAATTATGTTATTGGTTATCTTAAGAAATCATATCTATAGTGTGAGAGAAACAGAAAGGCTGAAGCTGTAACTGGTAAAGTAGTTGCAACCATTTATATTGGCAGGGTGGTGAGTGGTCATTTTGTGATTTAGACACTGTGTGTGTGTGTGTGTGTGTGTGTGTGTGTGTGTTCAGACATGATTGAAGAGCAGTCTTGATTGGTCATGGTTGACCATGGTTGCATACTCTGATGTTGATGTTCTGTAGGGTTGATTGACAGAACACCAAAGCCTCCCTGTGACTCATAGGCCAGAACCTAGAATAGTGGAGATTGGCTTGCATTAAACCAAGAGTGAAATGGGGAGTCATAATACAGATTATGTGGCTGGTGATGTGGTTCGGTTGGCAGAGTGCTTACCCAGCATACACAAAGTCCTGGGTTTGGTCCTCAGCATCGCATAACAGTGGTCCAAACCTGTCATCTCAACACTTATGAGTGGGAGACAGGAGGATCTGGAGTTCAAAGTCATTCTCAACCATTGAACTACTTAAGACCCCCATATCAAAACAAAAACAAACATTAGGAGGCTAGGGAGATGTCTCAATGCATAAAGTGCTTGTTGAACACACAAAGACCTGTATTCAGTTCCCTAGAACCTACAAAAATCCAAACACAGTAGAGGCACAAGCCTGTAAGCCTATAACTGGGAGACAAGGGGCGAGGAAGCAGGTGGATTCCTCAGGCTGACTGGCCAGCCAGTCTAGGTAAAACAGTGGCCCCTGTTCAGTGAGAGACGATCTCAAAAAATATCATATATGTCATATATCATAAAGTAGAAAAACATAATGTGGGGATAGAGGAAAACACCAAACATCTACTCCCAATCTCCACACATGTACATATCACATACACACACACACACACACACACACACATACATACACCACCACCACCACCACCAACAACAACAACAACAGGAAATAAGACTGGTCTTTTATCTTTGGGAGGCACCCGCAAATGACAGAGAATGAAGTTTTTTATCCAAGCCGCTATGAAGGCTGCTTAGAGCAAGTGGTAAATACGGGAGAATGTTCCATCTCCCTATTGTGTTCATCATGAAAGAATTTCATATTTTTGTTAATCCAAGTAAGGTCATATAAATTTCTATATGAATTGTACAAGTGATAGATAGAATTTTTGACATGCTAAGAACATTATTGTTTTAAGAATATCCACGATAACTTCTAAAGGTTTATTGAATCAAATGCTACAGATAAATGGACCAAAATAATGCGGGAACAAGTTTTTACAAATTCCACATGTAGACATTGCTACCTACTTGACTAATCAAAACTATCAGGTGCTGTTCAAAAATAACTTTTGAGATAAGATCTCACCGTTCAAACTCATGATCCTTCTGCCTCTGCCTCCCAAATGCTTCGATTATACATGTGAACAATGTTATTACACTCCATCAATTTGTTTTAATGCAACTATAATAATTACAAATTCCAGAATTTTCTGCTTCTTAAACATGACTTAAATTGATGTATATTGCAATGTCTCATCTAGGACACATGTGTCATCAAATTTTGCTATTTTGAAGTTAAGGTTCAGAGGAAGATGTTTGGCTTAGCTGTGGTTATATTAAAATGCCACTTCCTCAGGCAGGCATTAATAGTACAGCCTATAACCCCATTTGGGAGGTATAGGTAGGAGACTCAGGAGTTCAAGGTCATTGTTGGTTACATATTATATTCCAGGCCAGTCTAGGCTCCATGAAGTCCTGTCTCAAGAAAATTAAAAAAAAAAAAGAAAGAAAGAAAGAAAAATTACCACATGATACAAATCATAGCCAAACAACTGGTTCAGATTTCAAGAGACGCTAAAGACTTGTTTCAATTTAGTGGTGAAATTACAGGTTTTTTGTTCTTGTCTTTTGTTTTTAAATTTAATTTTATGTATGTGATTGTTTTGTCTGTATGTATGCATGTATGTATGTATCTGTGTATGTGAACCACATGCATGCAGTGCCCACAAAGACCAGAAGAGGTACTGAATCCTCTGGCACTTGAGTTACAGATAGTTGTCAGATACAATGTAAGCACTGGGAATCGAACCCAAGTACTCTGGAGGAGCAGTCAGTGCTCTTAACTACTATATTTCTATATTCTTACATGGAATCAGCTTTAAGGAAAACCTGAAAATATATATATTAATTTTTTTTAAAACCTAAGAACCTAAATTTAAGAGGCAAAAATCAGTTTAGTATCTGTTAACAAATGGGGATTTTCTTTCCTTCAAAAAGTTGAAAATATGGTAGATTTGGATAGTTGTTATAATTTAATTTTAGGGCTAAAAGCATGGTAGAATGCTTGACTAGCATTTGTTTAGGTCTGAGGGAATTTTTTAAATTTAATTTTAATACATATGTTGAGTATAAAATACCTCACAGCATTCAAAAGATACAAAAGGGTTTAATAGGCATACTGCCCAAATCCCCTTTACTTTACATAACTTGTAATAGTTTATAGTATGTATTTCCTGAAATCAATCTCCTCTCTCCCTTCTTTCTCTCTCTCTCTCTCTCTCTCTCTCTCTCTCTCTCTCTCTCTCTCTCTCTCCTCGTGTGTGTGTGTGTGTGTGTGTGTGTGTGTGTGTGTGTGTGTGTGTGTGTAAAAGAGAGATAGGTGTACATATACACAAATTATTCTTTACCTTGCTCTTTTACATAATAAAATACATGGATGTTATTCCTCATCAGTGCCTGCTATTTCCTCACTTCTCTGTTTATTTGAGACAAGGTCTCCAGGAGACAAGGTTGGTCTTGAACTTCTGATCCTCCTGACCCATCTCCCAAATGTTGGGATTACAGGCTTCAGCCATTATACCTGGCTACTTCACTCATTTTGAATTAAACTACTTAGTGAGAATTTTGGAGAACACCTCAAATTTTACTCTTGATGAAAAAATTGAGAGGGCTCAGAGCTTGCCAGAGACTAAAGTTGAGGTCTACTGAGTTTATGCTACCAGGAGGAAGTTGAAGATGAGAGGTGGGTGAATGTAGGCAGCAACTGAAGATATGGGTAAGACTATATAAAGTATTTTTATAGGGGGTGGAGGTGTAGCTCCGTTAGCTGAGTACTTACCTAGCCTGTATGAAGCCCTAGGTTCAGGCTGCAGCACCACATAAACCAAGTATAGTGATGCAGATCTCTAATTCTAGCACTGGGTAGGGGAAGGGGAAGGTGGGAGGGTCAGAAGTTCAAGGTCATCCTTGGCTACACAATTAGCTGGAAGCCATCCTGGTCACATATGAAACTCAAAAATAAATTTTATATTAAATTTATTAAATATATATTTATTTTCTATTTTCTAATTTTATATTTTATGAAGATAAATATATATTATATATTTTCACATGAAATATACAAGGAATGTATTAAAACTTGAAGACACTCTCATCTAGGAAGAGGTTCTTGGGGGGACAGCAAACAGAGCAGTCCTAAAGGAGCTTCGTGACTGGTTCTGAGGAGGAACTCCAAACCGAAAATGACTGAAGATAGCAGTGGCACAGGTCTGAGCAGACACGTAAGAGGCTCTTGGAGAATGAAGAACAGTCTACACTGTGTGGCCTGGGATCCTACTGAGGCGGCCATGGTGTTAGTTTATTGGTATTGAGGTCAGCGTAGAGAATGCTATTGTTAGGTTTGGACTTTTCCCTCTTTTTGAGAAAGTATCTCACTACGTAGACTTGGTTGGCCTGGAACTCACTATATGGATCAGGCTGACCTATGACTTAGGGCTATCCCCCCTGCCTCCATCTTCCAAGTGCTGGAATTATAGGTGAACACTACAGTCAGACTCTGTTTTTTCTGTTCCCTTTTATTACTTCTAATTTGCAACAGCAAAGCGTGCTTCTGGGAAGGTGACTGTAGCATCAGAGGTCGTCGTGAGACGCGGTGGGGGAGGACAGGAGAGGCATGCCCCTTTCATTTGCCTTTTCCTTATGGAACATCTGGTCAACCTCTCCACCAGCTAACGAAGACAATGCACTTTGAGTCTAGCCTTTCAGAATCAAGTATGATTTTTTCATAAGTCTAACCCAAACTCTTTGCATGTAAGGCAAACAGTAAGGAGATCTGGGAAACCGGTGTGCCACAAAACCAGCAGCCATTGAGATGAGTTCCCAGAGACTTGTGTTACAGCTGTTTGCTCTGCCTGTTGAATGTCTGTAGCCTTTCATAGTCCTCAGTGTCTTCGCAGGATGAGAAGGTAAACCTTGTGGTCCTTTGAGACTTGATCAGGGAGTCAACCCATGCTGTTCACCCTCTACCCACAGAACTGAACACATTGCAGGAGGAGCTGAGGCAGTTCAATGTCATTGTTTTGGGCTTTCCTTGCAACCAGTTTGGAAAACAAGAACCTGCAAAAAACTCAGAGATCCTCCTTGGACTCAAGTGAGTGCTATGTGGGGTCCTAGAGGAGCCCTTTCCTCATCTGCCTGGGTACCTTCCATTCCGGAGTCTTCTAGGGTGGGTGATGGGACAGTGGGCTGAAGCCTGTCATCATGATGCCTGGAGTTCCAGCCAGCCCTGCAGGAAATGCCCAAGTTCTCTCTCCACACTTGGCTTCTTTTTTTTTTTTTTTTTTTTTTTTTTTTTTTTTTTCACACTTGTCTTCTTTAAGGGTGAGAACAGGGAAGATCTAAGGAAACAACATTCAGGGAAAAGAAGGACACAGGAAATGGAGATGGGCCAGGAAATCTGAGCTCAAAATGTCCCCTCCCCAGTGTCTTGAAATGCTCTGATTCTATGAAGCCTCCTACTTGGAATCTTGATCCCAGAGAAACCCCTTCTTCCTCCTCTCTTTTTCTATAATCTTTTCCATCCCTTTGTGAGGACCATTGGTGGCCGTTCCTACCCCTCCTCGATTTCGTTTGGATTCTCTTGAGAACACCTTCTTTCGCTGCAGATATGTGCGTCCAGGAGGTGGCTATGTCCCCAATTTCCAACTCTTTGAGAAAGGGGATGTGAATGGAGAAAACGAACAAAAGTTTTTTTCTTTTCTAAAGGTGAGTGAACAAACATGGTGTGGATCAGTCAGACAGGATTCTCTGGGAGCAATGGGGCTGGTGTCTGTGATGAGGAGGGACCCCTTAAGGAGTAAATTCACAGACATGAGGCCTTGACTCCAAGCAGAGGAGACACACATGATAGCTCTCGTGTGGATTAACCTCCCCTGCTGAATGCTAATGATTTGTTTATTCGATCGATAATCATTAATCAAATCTCTACTTTGTTCAAGGGACTGTGAAATACAAGTTAACAGTTACTAATAGGTTAGTCTCTTACCTGAAGGATCTATTACATAGTCAGGAGAGGACATGGCTAGGAGAGAGTGCCAAAGGAGAAGAATCACAGTGTGTTATAACTGCAGAAGAAGACCAGGAAAGAAGGACCTTCCCAACAAGGATCACATAGTCACTGGTTCCCAGAGGATGGGCTGCAGAACAAAGCTGTCCCTGTGGATATTTCCACTCATCCACAGCAAACTGAAACAAAAGATCTACTTATTAAATATAAACAACAATTATTTATTCCAATAATAAGTTATGGTCAGGCTACACCACATGAACTGCTTTTTGTAGCACAAAAGATGACCATGACAAAACATGGTGGCTCACACCTATAATGCCATAACTCAGGATCCAGAGGCAGGGGAATGGCTGTGAATTCTAGGTTAACTCGGTCTAAATAGTCCTATCCAGGCAAGTCACAGCTATACAACAAGACTGTCTCAAAACAAGCAAAACAGTGATATCATCTCTACAGAGCTGTCTAATATTTAAAAGTCCTGTCTGATGTGGTGACTCATGCCTGAAATCCTAGTGCTTGGGAAGCTGAGTCCATAGTCAGCTTGGGTTACACGCTGAGTTTCAGACCATCTTGGGCTTTTGAGTGAAACTAACTAAATAACTAAATAGTATGGAGCTGGAGGGATAGCTCAGCCTTTAACATATACTGATCTTCCAGATCAGTTCCCAGAACAACCACTTGTTCAGCCAGGGATCCAACAACCTGTGCTGAATTTTGCAGGACCTGTACTCACAGGCGTCCATACCCACCTGAGATACACATATATAGACATAATTTAAAAATAAGATAAATCTAGAGAAAAGAAAAAGTGAGTAATAAAATATCTTAAGGGCTGGAGAGATGGCTCAGAGGTTAAGAGCACTGACTGCTCTTACAGAGGTCCTGAGTTCAATTCCCAGCAACCACATGGTGGCTCACAACCATCTGTAATGAGATCTGGTGCCCTCTTCTGGCCTGCAGTCATACATGCTGTATACATAATAAATAAATAAATCTTTAAAAAAAAAAAAATAAAATAAAATATCTTAAGATTTAAATTTATAGTTATAACAGATTTTTAATTTCCTTATTGCCAAAATAGCTATTGAACTTTTATGGCTTATGAAGTTCCAAAGCCTGGGAACTACAATTCTAAAACCAACCTATTATTTTTCACCTATGGAAACTAAAACCATAGAAATCATGACTTGCTGAAAGAAAGAGATTTTTTTTTTCTACTGAGACAGGGTTTCTCTGTGTAGCCCTGGCTGTCCTGAAACTTACTCTGTAGACCAGGCTGGACTTGAACTCAGAGATCTGCCTTCTTAACCTCCTGAGTGCTAGGATTAAAGGTGTGTGCATGCCATCATGCCCCCACTGAAGGTGTTCTTTTACTCATCATGATGAAATCATGAGACTAGGGGAGAGGCAGGAAAGTGGGATGCTTTTCACTGACTACCATACTTTCTACCCTGTTTAGAATGTCCTTGATGTGCTGGTGGTAGTATATTAAGAGGCCTGGGAAGGGCCAGAAGCATGTGGAGTTTAAACCATTAAGATGTACAGTAGTGAGCAGAGAAGGCTGGACAACATAGGAGCAGAAATGAGATCATCTTTCTATTTTTCATGTCTCTGCTCCAGAATTCCTGCCCTCCCACCTCTGAACTTTTGGGATCTTCAGAATATCTCTTCTGGAATCCCATGAAGGTCCATGACATCCGCTGGAACTTTGAGAAGTTCCTGGTGGGGTCTGATGGGGTCCCTGTCATGCGCTGGTTCCACATGACTCCTGTTAGCACTGTTCAGTCTGACATCATGGAGTACCTAAACCAAACCCGTACCCAGTAGGATATGCTTTACAAAGAATGTCTTTGCTCCACTCCATCACCAGCCTCCAGATGACCAGAGCATGCAACACTACCTGCGTCCCTACTAATGCATGTGTGAACAGCTCTGCATGAATGTATACAGACGGGTCTCTGTGGTAGACGTGTACATGCATTGAAAATTAAGTCAAAGAGAATCTTTCTACCCAAATATCTGCCTCTGCTATATCAAGTTTTCCTAATCTATTCCAAAAGGAAGTCATATTTTAGAGTTGATGATCCAGACAATCCCATTCATCTAAAAAAGCAACCCCTCTAAAGGTCCTAATCTATCACTCACTGTCTCGATCAGTTAAAGAAAGTGGAAATGGGTAGCAAGATCCTTTGGTTCCCTTCCCAGCCTCCTCTCCTCTCAAGCTGGGAATGCTTTGTCAAGCTCTTCTGTCTAGCCCCCTTGGTGGCACACCATCCTGTAGTTTTCTTAGGGGATTCTGAAGGCTGAGAGCAGAAACCTTACCTGGCATGAAGGGAGGGCCATCTCTACCCTGGTAGGCCCCAAGGCCCCTCTGGATAAGACCCTACCAGAGCCTTCCTGGGTGCCTTTCTGCTAGTGAATTTGGGTTCTGGCTCCTAGTCACAGATGTCCTTCACACCAGATGATGCACTTCACTCTCACCCTGACTCTTCCCAACTTTAAATTTATCCCTATTAACACTGTCTCATGATAATGATCAATAAATAATCAAAGAACCAGCAGCAGTGGACTCCGAGTGATGTTTTTCAGTCCATATTATGTGCTTGCTTGACCTTACTACTTACTTCTTCAACATTCTGGTTTTCTCAGAAGTGTTCTAGAATCTTCTTGATACTAGTCAAAGCATCAGGTGGTACTGTAGACACATTGCTGCTCAGATCTAAAGCACAGACTTATGTATGTAGCCCAGGCTGGCCTTGAATTTCCAGTCCTCCTGTCTCAGCCTTTCAAGTAGCTAGGAATACAGGTACTGCAATCATGCCCAGCTTGTAGACTCTTTGGGGCCAGGCCTCTCTGTCCCTTCGTTCTGATCATTTAGTCAAGCCCTCCACGCTCCTACAAAAGAGGACTTCTTGCTTCTGGAGGAATCTCTCCCTCTCCCTTCTTCTCTCCCTCCCTCCCCCTTTCAATTCTGTTTATAAAATTAATTTATACTTAACAATTAAAATCTGAAAGCACATAAACAGGACAAAGTGTCAAAAAGCAACAGACCCTGATCTTTATCAGAAGTGCAAGAGCCCTACAGAAAGCCCGCTGTTCGTGGTCAGCTGACTGCAGCACTTTCTTCTGTCCAGATGGGAAACTGAAGGAGGAGAAGTCGTTTTTCTTGTGTCTCTAGTTCTGGCCCTTGAGTGTCACAGGGTTATGGTCTGGTGACAGGCTCTAGCGCTTGTCATAGCTGCAAGTCTAGAAGACTATACAGGCGTATGGCTATGGGCTGGACAGTCCAGAGACGTACTGCTCCCGGTGTTTGGGGTGGGAGCTTATTACTCTGTGATTTGCTTCCCTGAGCAATTGGGGGCAGTTGTAATCCCCTGCTCTTAACAGGAGCTGGTGGCGGTAGCAGCCAGTATCAGGAGCTGCAGCTCCCAAGCCTTAGGTACTGGGATCGACACCACAGCTAGTGTTCCAGTTTTTGAGTCATAGGTGGTCAAGTCCCTTGGTTCTTACAGCAGCTAATGTTACAACATCTAGGCATAGAAATTTGGGACACTTGACTCTTAGGGCTTGGAGGCCTCCTGAAGCTCTTCTAGCAACCGAGACCTGTAGCCTCTCACTTTCGGCCTGCCACAGCACATGTGCACTGTGCCTGAGAATCTATGAGGTCTCAACTCTGCTGCTGCTCTGAAAAATACAGATTCTATGTCTCTGCCCCAGAGAAAATAAACATTGTTCTAAGGAACCTACTGTTGTTGGCTTTTGCTCTTTTGGGGGACCTGCCACCAAGCTCCCAAATAAATTACACATGTAGGCTTATTCTTAATTATAAATGCCTGGCCTTAGCTTGGTTTGTTTCTTACCATCTTTTCTTAGCTTCAAATTACCCCACCTACCTTTTGTCTCTGGGTTTTTTCCTTTCTTTCTTCTGTGTATCTTACTTTCACTCTTACTCCGTGGCTGGCGGGGTGGTTGGCCTCTAGCATCCTCCTTCTTCTCTTGCTCTTTCTCCTTCTCCTCCCAGATTTCTCCTTTTATTGATTCTCTCTGCCTGCCAGCCCTGCCTATCCTTTCTCCTGCCTCGCTATTGGCCATTTAACTCTCTATTAGACTAGCAGGTGTTTTAGACAGGCAAAGTAACTCAGCTTCACAGAGTTAAACAAATGCAACAATAAAAGAATGCAACAGATCTTTGCATCATTAAACAAATATTCCACAGCATATAAAAAAGTAACACTTCTTAATGTAATATTCTACAACCACCTACATTAGTTATTCTTCTTGCCTATGTGGCCAAACACAAAAGCAACATCAGGGAGGGAGGACTTGCTTTGGTTCCTAGTTGATCATGAATCCGACAGCTTGTGGGGTTTCTCAGGCAGCAAAAGTGTGAGGTAACTGCAAAGAGCTCAGCAGGACAGGCTGTACCTCTTGGACCTGCCCTGCAGTGACCGACATCCTAAAGGTTCCACAACTCACCCCAAAGCCACCATTAGCTGAGGATCAAGTGTTCAAACACATGAGTCAGTGCTGGACATTTCACATTCAAGCCATAAGCTAGCCAGAGCCAGCCTCCTCCTCCCAAGCTGGGCGACTACTAAGGTCCAGCTATCAAAGTATTGAAGTCCAGCAACCAAAAGTCCCCTTTTGGCTGTCCCATTAACAAGCCCAATCAAAATGAAACACCTCATTCTAACCTGGGGTTTCCCCTTTTACCTTTATAAACTGCCATTTGCCTGTTGGCTTATGTCTGTGTCCTCTCTATCCAGAGGCAGTCCTTTGTCCCCGTTCCCTGCCCCCACCAATATACCTTTCCCCTTCTCCCTCCTGCTGGGTCTCCTGTCTTTGTCTCTTGTTCCCTGCCCTTTGTTCCTCTGAGGCAAGTAAATCTCCTTTGTGCTGAGAACTTAGTCTTTGGGTCCCTTCAGTGCCAGGAAGTTCCAAGATTCCCCCCTGCACTTTGGGGTCAGTGGCAGAAAGCTGTGTTTGGGGGGTCGTTTGTTTATTGTAAACCAAGTTGGCCTCGGGCTCAAGGCAATCCTCCTGCCTCAGCTTTCCCAGTGTGATGGGATTGCAGGTATACACCACCACAGGATTTGTTATTTTTACTGAGAGCAGCTACAAGACAAAGGTCTCTCCCTACCCCCACCCCTAGCCTTTCAACTGTACTCACAGGGCATCCGGGTTCTGCTTGATATCATAAAGCCCTTAGGGTGGAAAGCCTTTGCTGATGGAGTTCTGGGTAGCACTTAATTCCCACAGTTCGATTTGGAACCCATTTGCATTTGATGCGACTCTCCATGTCCTCCCCAGCCCTGAGAAGATGCCCCATTCCTGTGGCCTAGCAGGTCCGTTCCTAGGTCCCTTCCTCTACCCCAACCTCCCTCCTCTCCCACCTCTCCTCTTCCCCCGCCCCCAACAATCCCAGCACCAACCAGCTTCCTCCCGGCTTGAGCACAGCCCTCTACCTCCACTCCCAGGAAACCAAACCGTTTCTGGTTCCCGGTGCAGGCTCCAGCCTCCCCATCCCCTCGTTCCAGAGGCTCTGAGTGAGGACGTCTTTATGGTCTTTGAAATCGAACTTAGGAGGTTCAAAAAGGGCATAAACCTGCAGACAGCCGTAGCTGAAGATCGACTTTCGTCCAGTCGCCAGGAAAATCTGCTAAGCGAGAACGCTGCAAATGGTTTTTTTTTACGCAGCTCTTTGAAGGGGCCAAAGACTCGCACAGCACACACGCAGAGGCACAAGTGCCGTGCCCGCCTGTGCATTCATCTGCTTTGTTGTGGATGGCCTTTGTCATTCCATAGCCGGGTGTGTGTGTGTGTGTGTGTGTGTGTGTGTGTGTGTGTGTGTGTAAAGAGGAAAATATCTGACCCCGGGACTGACTCGTTTTCTGGTGTGATGCTTTCAGCCTGACGAGAGAAAACGCAGTATCTTTTCACAAATGGTTTTTCTGTGACAAAAATAGGCATCACCAGATAGTATAAGCCATTCCCGCCCCCCCCCCCCCCACACACACCACCACCAAATAGAATAGATTCATCTGTCTTTCACACCTGCTGCCATGTGGCTCCATGGCTTAGTTGGTTAAAGCGCCTGTCTCGTAAACAGGAGATCCTGGGTTCGACTCCCAGTGGGGCCTTGTGTTTTCACACCTTTCCTACCACTAAGACTCAATTGTTAAAAAGTTACTTTATTTACGAGATTATAACCTGTCACGGTCTCATACTTTTTCAAACAACACAGTTTTTAATGAGGTAATTCAAATTCAAAATTTGGTCAACGGATAATGTATGGACAGGTCCCGGGTCACTTTTCATAAATTTACATTAAATTTAGGGGCAGCCACAATTCCATGCATAGATACACACGATCCAGATCCTATCCATTTCAGCTCAATGAGCCATTGTAAAGGAAAACTAGAATGTCTGTAGTGAGAGGCTGGACCTTCCATCCACCCTCTCCCTTTTTATGTTGCAAGAGAGGAAGCCTAGACAGGCACCAGACCACCTAGTTACACAGCCAGCCTTGTCTTTGGCATTTTGAAGAGGATACAAGCAAGAACACCTAAATTAAGTCTCTCAAGGAAATAACCAGAAAGCATTCCAGATGATAGACCGGAAGTTAAAATTTCCCGGACCCAAGTATGCTAAGCAAGGATCGGAAGGCAGGGAGCAAAGAGCAGATTGGGACACTGTGCCAAAGCAGTCTAAAGCAGCTGAGCCCACCCTGGTGCTTTAGAAAAGGTCTGTGCTCCTCATTTCCCACTGTCTCATCCACACGCCACAAACATTAACTGTTTGGTTTTATGTGGCAGGCATATCCCCCAAGGGAGGAAATATAGCCCTGGAGAAAACTAACCAAAAACTCTGGGGAATCTTACATGTAGTGTAGGAGTGGCAGATATACAAAAATGAATATATTATATATATGGAAACTAACTGTGTCAGCTACTGATGAAGTCTGCGGGTGGGAGGGAGGGACTAAGGAAGAATATGGGGCATGTATGAGGTGGGGCAGGTACTTAAGAGAATATCCTGTCAAATAAAATCACGGTCAAGTGTTCTTAATATTTCCATATACTTATTTATTTGTGTGTGCATGCATATGTGTGTGGAGACCAGAGGACAGCTGTGGAAACCAATTCACTTCTTACCATATTAGTTCTAGGGACAGAGCTATGTTGTCAGGCTTGGTGGCTGGTGCCCATACCCCTTGAGCCATCCCACTGCTTTTAATTCTTTTTATCAATGGAAGCTGGCACAGTATAACCACTATATCACTAAGTACCATAAGTAGCAACATAAAATAACCAGAAAATTACCTTTAGCTGTGCCTGGATCCCACCTCTGTTCATTTTGATGGGGACTTGAAGTAGGTCCCGGTCTCCGTATTCAACCCTCAGCTGCTGCACGAGGTGGTTGAGGCACCCGTGAAAAATGACTTTAGCTCAGTGGGCAGCAGTCACAAGCTGGCTAGAATGTTTGACTAGAGCTGGTGGATAAATACACACGAACTATCCCAAATGGATATCTGGCCCGTGCATCAGTGGTCAGTTAAGTTCGGTATATGGTGAGATCGTTGTTCTAATCTTTAAAATAATGGTTTTTGACAAATGTTCCTTCCCTTTTTATTTTAAATGTATGAATAAACATTCTAAGCATGTTTTTTTTTTTTTTTGGTTTTTCGAGACAGGGTTTCTCTGTGTAGCTTTGCGCCTCTCCTGGAACTCACTTGGTAGCCCAGGCTGGCCTCGAACTCACAGAGATCCGCCTGGCTCTGCCTCCCGAGTGCTGGGATTAAAGGCGTGCGCCACCACCGCCCGGCCTAAGCATGTTTTGATGAATTGTGTCCCCCTTACTCAAAAGATATGTTAAGTCTTTAAGCCCCTGTACTTGCTATTAATGTGACTTTATTTGGAAATAAACTCTTTGCAGAAGTAACAGACTTTTGCTATTGATTTGTTTTATTCTGTTTTGTTTTGGAATAGGGGCTCATATAGCCCAGGCTGACCGTGAACCCTGGTCCTGTGCCTTCACCTCCTAAGTGTGTCCTGCTTCACCTAGCACAGTGACTCCCAACCTTCCTAATGCTGCAACCCTGGAATACAGTTCCTCATGTTGTGGTGACCCCCAACCATAAGATTATTTTCATTGCTACTTCATAACTGTAATTTTGCTACTGTTATGAATTATAATGTAAATGTTTTTTGGAGATAGAGGTTTGCTGAAAGGGTCAAGACTCACAGGTTGAGAACCACTAGCCTGTCAGGAGGAACCCGTTTTGATGATGATCCTACTGAATTAAGGTGGACACAGTCCAGTTCCTGGAACTTTTGTAAATGCAAGGAGGAAGCTTTGGATTTCAGGATAGGTATGGGAGGGAAAGACCGTGTGAGGATGGAGACACAATGCAGAGACGTGTCACAAGCATATGCCAAGTATTGCTAGTGTTTATTGCTAAATAAACATGATAGGAGGTCACTGTTTTAGACTAAGCTTCTCGAGGAGGTTTCCACAGAACAGACACAAATATAAACTGGAGTCCCCTGCTGAAGTTTTATGTAAACTAAAACCACCCTATCTAGGTGAGCTTTGGAGAAGTCGGCATTGGAGAGACATCAGTCGAATTCTCTAGAGGCCAATCTCAATGGATGTAATAATGAGTTCCTTCAGCAAGTCTTGAAGAAGGCAAACATCTGAACCGACTTTAGAAGGCTAGTGTCACCTGACCGGGCAAAGACATTATGACACATTTCAAGCCAGTGCTCTCCAGAAAAAAAAAAAAAAAAAGTGTTCTTTAAATCATTAGCAAATCAATTCAGGAGGTTTATCATGAGTGAGCAAGATGCCCTTAGGGTCAGCTCTAAAAATTCCAAGTCCAGCATTCAAAGCAAATACAAATTGACTTTAAAAATTATTTACTTTATTATTTAGTTGTGTGTGTGTGTGTGTGTGTGTGCATATGTGAACACATGTGTGGCCCTGATCAGGCCAGAAGAGGACCTGGGATCCTCTGGAGATGAAGCTATAGGCAAGTATGACGTGGGTTCTGGGAAGTGCCCTGGTCCTCTGCGACAGCCGTAGACACTCAATTACTAAGCCATCTCTCCAGCTCCCCCAAATCGAAATTTTAAAGAAGATTCCATTTTTAAGATTATCAAAACTATGAAATACTTAATGATAAAATAAAAATATGTTTATAGGACACACACAGCAAAAACAAACAAAAAACCGCTAAACTAAAGAAAAAACCCCACAAAGCCAACAACTAACTAAATAAATAAATACATACATACATACATAAATAAATAAAGACAAAAATCCTCCCAAACCAAAAAGTTAACTGAGAAGAACTAAAGAAGCCTTCAGTGAGAGGACCGACTCTGCCAAGACCGTGCCTGCGGTGAAAGGCGGCAGCTGGGGTGTGTCCACCCCTGTGCACAGCAGGAAGCGGGCCTCGGTCCTTTCTAGTCACGGACTCAGAACAGTAGCAGGGCTGGCCAAGCACACATCGAAGCAGGAAAAACAGACAGAGAGACAAACAACCCTACATCCTCGTGCTAGCCCAGGAGCCAAGCATGGTGGTACCTGAACGTAATCCCAACACTTACGAAGCAAAGGCAGGAAGACTGTGGGTTCAAAGCCAGCCTGGGCTAAACGTGAGCTCCAGGCTAGCCTAGTTTACATGGTGAAAATCTACCCCTTCCCCCGCCCCCCCTCGAGAAGAAGGAGGCAAAGGAGAGGGAAGAGGAGAAGGAGAAGGAAGGAGAGAGAGAGAGGAAAAGACTAATATACATTTTCCTGAAATGAGAACAAAGTACAGGCTGTAAAGGCAAAACGTTGCAGACTGAGGCCTGTCTTCAAGCGCCTGTGCAAGGGGTTGGACAGTTTGCTAAGAGAGCAGATAAAGCGCTTCAGCTGTGACAGGACCAGCCACCGCTCGGTCCCACTCTAGAGACAGACTGTCTACTGGCCTGTGTGGGTGTGGTTTGGTCGCTCACAGATCCTCTCTATGCACTTGTCTCCCCCTACACTGCTGAGAGAAACCCAAAGTCCACATGTTTAGGCAAGCTCTACCACGGAGCTACATCACTGAGCCCATCCCTGTAATATTGGGACAAAATTTCAACAGGCACCAGGCAAACTCAATCCAGGCTCCCTGGTAGATAGTCCTCAACTAGAAATCCAAAGGGCTTGGTTTAAGCCAGTGAAAGGTTACAAAACATGAGTCTCAGGTATTTGATGGGTCTACAACTAATAACTACCTCATCTGAGACGGAATTGGTAATGTACATGGTACTAAGCCAGGCCATTTGCCTACTGCACAGTATACCCACCAACCACTGAGGTGGGATTTTCAAAGAAAGAGCTTATTCAATGGCAGCCAACCACGGTCACATCTCGGAT